GTGGGTGACCCAACGGGTCATGGGTGGTCTAGTATATATATATATATAAAACCTGGCCAGGTGGCAACTCTAGTCATTGAACAGTTGCAGGAATTGAAATTCGACTTGCAAAAAAGAAAACTAAGAATTAACAATGCGTTCAAAACAATTTAGACATGCTTTTTTCTTCTTCTTTTTTTTTAAATACATAAGCCTTTAACAAATTTTGTTTGTTTATGATTTTAGAATGCAATGCAATAAACATGATATTATTAGCAAATGGTAAAAAGTGTTATTGTTATTTAAACTCTCTTACTTTTAGAGCTGTTGCACTTACAGTTTGTTGTAAAGAGCAAAGCTACACGATGGGCTATCAGTGCTATGCCCACATCGAGTATCGAAACTGGGTTTTAAGTATTATTAGCCTTCAGACTTGCCACTGGGAGGTAGCTGTTAGTGTTACAGTATGTCTCTGTATGAAGTGGGGGAAAGAATGTTCCAATTTCTCATTAGAAATCTGGAAACCCTAGTAATGATGCACAGAAAACAACAATAATTTAAAAAATAGTAGAATAATTGCCACAGGATATTTGTTAAGCAAAAATGTATTTTTTGTTAATTTTTTAAATTAAGAAATAAGATAAAATTGTTCTATAGATACCTTCTAGTAGTGAGTAGTACTACTACTATTAATACTAGATGGTAATATAGTTTGAAATAAGTATTTTGTAAATGAATTAATGAGATTTGATAGTTTGAATAGTTACATTAAGAAGTAATTTTTCATATTTAATAATAAACAGGAATACTGATAAATCTGATATGGAGATACTTGCGCTGCATTTTCTTAAGATTGTGAGTGACTGACTAAATTATTTTTATGGTAATCATTGTTTTTATTTAATGTTTTATAGAGTATCAGTTATTTGTTACTTGACTGATTGATCACTTTTTTTATATCATAAAATGTGCATTATATACAAAAAATAATTATTTTGTTAAATTTTTGAGATTAAGATTATTATTTTCCAAATTTTACTGTTTTGTTTAATTTGATTGTATATGAAAGATTATATGTACAACAACAACTATTATGACAATTACCTTTCACTTACAGATAGTACTGATATTGTGGATTGCAAATTGAAGCTAATTCTTGGATTGATATGGACACTTATTCTCCACTATTCCATCTCGATGCCGATGTGGGAAGGTGAGGATGCAGACCTTGTTCTTGGGTCGAAAGGAGGTCCATCTCCAAAACAAAGACTTCTTGGATGGATCCAGAGTAAAGTTCCTGACATTCCTATTAACAACTTTACTTCTGATTGGAATGATGGCCGAGCCATGGGTGCCTTGGTTGATGCTGTTGCACCAGGTTTGTCTTGCTGGGAATATTTTTCATTTCCATGAGTGTTATTTATTACTCATGTTATGCAGTCAGTAATGGAAAATAACAACATAATGTAATTTATAAATTGGAACGTATCCACAAATATCACAACAGCAATAATGGATCAGACGTTTGTGGTACTTGACACTAGACTTTAAGTACTAGCATAACCACATACTTCATTATGTGTAATTGAAAGTTGTAGAGGTTGTTTGGTTCAGGTGTTCAAAAGTATGAGGAACTTGGACTGATTTATGGAACATCTGTTTCAGTAGCTTAAGTATGCCCCCACAATTGTGAGAGTGCCTGATCCAAAAGGGGCCCAAAGGGCCTGACAAACTTAAGAATTGTTGAACCGGTTTATTTGAGCAGTATAGAGAAGAGAATAGAAATATGAACTTGCATATTATTATGGGTCAAAAACATTTTAATTGCATTAACTGTTATACATTTGTGGATTGGTTTGCCATAGGATATGGTTAGCTTGAATTTTTGAAATTTTGTTGGACAGATGTATGACCATGAAGTTTGTATTTAATTGGGTGAGTTAGTTGGTTTCTTGCCAGCTTGCTTTTTTCTTAGTTTATCAAAAATTCTTTATCAGAGTATTGAATATTTTGCCACCTAACAGTTAAAATTCATGAACTCCAAGGGAAATTGGGATCTTTGAGATTTCTTCCTGAATTTTACATGAACATTTAGGAATAACTAAACAAAAGTGCTGAACTGGATTGTTTTGATATTATATTGAGTAGCAAGTACCTCATCATTTAAGATGACATACACCCATGAAAATAATTTATATTTAGGTCTATTTAAAAAATTTCAGCAAATAACTTAGTTTTTTTCACACAACTTAAGATGAAGGCTAGCCACAGCAACTGTGCAGCGTCATCTGATATCTAAAGTGGGTTTTCATTTACATATCTTCAACTGTTTTATAAAGGATAATAGTGTGTACCATGTTCAGTTATGTTAATGATGTATAGTGTCTAATGACTATCAAGTTAAATTTTAAGATAGCTTAACCTATAAATAGGTTTTGATTGAATGTTAAGAACAGGACTATTAGGAATTTACAGTATTCAAAATCTTGAAGTGGTCACTGATATGTTGAAAGGGGTTATGAAGTTTATCTATTTAGGCATTTTAGAACTGAGAGCTCGTGTATGAACTGCTAATAATTGAAAAGTTCAATAATGGAAGTAGTCTTAACAAGAAAGATTTTGAAGTAAATCCACTTGCTATTATCCAAAGTTTTGAAATAAACGTTCAACACCACACAATATTCTAAAGTGAGAAGAAAAAGTTGGATAAATGATGATAAAGAATAAATTGACATGTCTAAATGAGCCTAATTCCACTGTAACATGGTCTTTACTGCCTCATGAAGGGCATCTGCCCGAAACATTGCACAAAATAAACTAGAAAAAATTTTCATTTAGATGTGTCAATTTATTCTTATTATCATTTATCCAACTATTCTAAAGTATTTACAGAATATAGATTCTGTATTTTATAATTATCAAAGTAAATGTGAACCTCACTGTGGTTGTATTTTGCCTGAGGTAAGCTATAGTACTATCCATATATATATGAGAGACATTCATCGATGTATTTTACAGGTTTTAGTATAAACTTATTTTGATTCTCTCTCTCTCTTTCTTTTTAATTTGTATTTCAAATGCAGTGTTAGGAACATCAGTTTTGGTTTTAAATATTGTTATGAAGTTTCAGTTTTTGTTTCAAATATTGTTATGAAGTCGGTGAATGCCTTGTTTCCTCCAGTTATGCCAGTGCTCTTTCTTACTTTTCATGCTCAACCAACTGAACTACTGGTTGATGTTTCAGGCATCATTCCTAATTTTCTAGTTTATAGAAGAGTGTTTATTAATTTTGGAATATTAAATCTATCAAAACAAAAACATAAGAAATCTAATGTTTTAGACGATTTAGATGTAGTCAAGGTAGTGGTAATATATATATATGTATAATGAAATAAATAGCTCCAATACTCTTAATTACATTAATTGTTAATAGGCAATTAAAATCAGTGCAATAAAATCATAATATACTCAATATAAAATGAGCATTAAAGAAGTTTTGGTAGAGTTCCCATTGTCAGCCCCAGTTGTCACTTTAAAGTCATAGTGGATAATGCTTGTGGTAATAGCTACCAAATGCATTGAGGATATCCCATCTATCAGACAAAATCCAAATGCTGATGTTAAACTAGTCAGCAAACATGGAAAGTCCTTACACCAACAATGTTTCAATATATGTATATATATATAAGCCCTAAAAGTTTACCTCATGGTGTATTGAGTTGCCCTAAAGGTTTACCTCTCAGTTTATCAAGTTGCTCTAAAAGTTAACCTCACAGTGTATGGAGTTGTAAAGATTAGCCTTACAGTGTATCAAGTTGTCCTAAAGGTTAATCTTGCAATGTATAGAGTTGCATCTAGTGTCCTTAGATTTCTGAATTGTGTCATAAGTCATGTTCTTTGGATCAATCCTTTGTGTATTGATTAAGATCGTTTACAGATACTTAAAAATCTCTATAGACTCAGAAGTTGTTAAAAGCTGTAAACAAGTTTTGGAAAAGATGTTCTTTTTCATTATGAATATTTTTATTGTTCTATTGACAAAATAGTTTAAATAAATTCCATTCTTTTTTATTTTAGGTCTGTGTCCTGATTGGCCAGAATGGAGTCCCAACAATGCTCTGCAAAATGCATCTGAGGCTATGGGTCTAGCCAATGACTGGCTCAATGTGCCACAGGTGAGATTTGGGTGGATATGATTTATCTCATTTTCATTAAGATTGTGGTTAATTATTACAATCCACATTAACTTTTATCTGTTTGTTACTTTATTTTCATTATAACATAAGTATATAACTGGATGGTAAAGTTTACTCAAGGAACCTCAAAAATTCTTACTAGAAATGCATTATTTTCTTCTTGAAATTGTCAAGATTTTCAAGATTGTTTATAAAATGATTTTATTGGTGCATACAAGTCAACTCACAGAACCAGAGGAAATTTTCTCAAGTGCCCTTTTAGATGACATGCTAGTTTGAACAACGCTCAGTATTGACAGAACTTAAAATACCCTAGTGTTCTGAAGGCCACATTTTGGGAGTCTCTCAGTTGATTTTCAGAGTCTACCTTATCTTTTTCCTGCCAGCCATAGTTAATAATGAGTAAATATAAAATTGTAAGTGATAAAACAAATCAGACAGAGCATTAAAGCATTTAGATTTTTAAAAACTGTTATCAGGTAAAAGACCTTAAATGACATTTTAAATTAACAGAACTTTCATCAATGAATTGTATTTTGTGTTAAATGATAAAATTATTGCTAATCATGAAAATTATATGAAACAACTTTAATTCTCAAATAACACAAGAATTGCACGAACTAATAAATAATTATTTAAGGTTACTTAATGAGTTTTTGTACAAAAAACAAATACTTGAGTTAAACAGGTAACAAAAAGTTGTGGTTACCTTTACTGTTATTGTCCATTATAAAATTTGGGTGTTGGCCATTTATTACAGTAACCATAACTGTAACTTATCAAGTAATAAATTCACAACAACAACAACTACTGTGCCATGACTTCTACTTACTTTGACCATTCTCCTATATTACTGGTGATCCTTGTTGAGAAGAACAATAGCTATTCTTGTGAAAAACATCTAGAAAACATGGGCTATACTATTTGATTTTATAACCACTTTATAAAAGTTGTGAAATACTTTGATACTTTAGATATCTCTGGTGCATATTGGATGCAAGAAAGTTGTGTTTAAGCTATCATTCGATACATTTTTTGTGTGCAATTTTTGCCAAATCTTGCATTAAATCAAAATTGAAATGGAGAAGCAACATAAGCAAACCTCAGAAGAACATATTCCGTATAAGTTGAATTAATTACCATAAAGTCTATTTATTTTATAAAACACTACAGTAGAAGGTGAGTTCAGTAACATTAGTCAAACTGTACATGCTTCAGTATATGTTTTATGCCAGATTATAATAATACAAGAGTTTTGTAATGTTCTTAGAAAATAACTTGTGGTAATTATGTTTTTTAATCAAACACGTTTTTCTAAACCGCTATGTACCAAATTGTATTGCAGTTAATCCACTAATTGTATAGAAAATGAGTGATTTGACCCGATTTTTTTTTATTAGGTATTAACACTGAATATCATAATATGCAAAAATATGAAATTACTCAAAATGTTGAATTATTTGGACCCATAATAGTTTCTTTCTCTTTTCTTTTTAAGGTTAAAACTATATGGTGATTAATTTTTTGTAATGTTCATATATTGAACTTTATTTGAATACTTGATATTTTTTTGCATTATTTCGAGATATTCTGTATACTTCTTTTGCATTTTGGCATGACAATAATTATAAATAAAACTTTATATAATAATAGAAAATATAACTAACTTTTCAGTTGATAAGACCAGAAGAGATGGTGAATCCAAAGGTTGACGAGTTGTCTATGATGACATACTTGTCTCAGTATCCGAATGCCAAACTTCAGCCAGGGGCTCCTCTACATCCTCGTGTTAACCCTAACCGAGTTCGCTGTTATGGTCCAGGTATTGAACCTGCTGGTGTTGTGTGTGGTGCTCCTACCAGTTTTACTGTCGAGACTTTCAGTGCAGGCAAGGGCGATGTCCAAGTTTTTATTGAGAACCCTATAGGACATTTAGAACCAGTGAGTGATAGCATCTATCTCCATGTTTTACCTATATTCTTTGTATTATTATGTTTAAACAGCAGTGAAAGTTTGATCTTAGACTGCAAAGTTGTAAAATATTTGCATTTGTTTAATTCTCCTAAATCACATTTTGGTTTTCCTATAGAATAAGTGGCTTGCTAATGATACCAAATATTGCATCATTTTTGCAAGTAATATTCCAATTTTTACAAATTTGTTGTATTGAAAATTTTACTTTGCTTTTGTTTATCCATTTTGTCCTAACCTTTTTAACACTAAGTTTGATTAGGCTTTTTTTATAAGTAAATGTTTGGTTAACAATGATAGTAAGTGTTTAAATTTCACTTCATTATCTATAAATGCTCAGTAGATGGCATTAGTGACTTGGGCTGACCAGTTTTTGCAATACTGTGTATCTTATCCACCTTGCAGGTGGAAGTAACATTCAATAATGACCGAAGCAGAACTTACACTGTTACATATACTGCAAAGATGGAAGGACTACACAAGGTATGTTGTTGGATATTTAATTTTAATTCACTTTTTTGTTTAAAATCTCAAGTGGAGAATGAAATCTAATTCATATCTGTGTGACAATTTAGTTGCAGGAAATCATAAATTAATTACTGATGTTTAAGTTGAACACCTATTTGCATTCTGTTTATCTTGCATGTGTAACATCATATTGTTCTACTGAGTGATACATATTCTAATAAGACAAAATAAATAAGAAACTGCAATATGAATATCATATTTCGACCATGAATAAAAAAACTTGTATGTTGTAGATTGTTCATTACCCATTGGCTAATTATATTATTATGTTATTAAATATGTATTTGGTACATTACATTTATTGTATAAAAATTGCTGTTATTGTTTCCATAGCAATTATTAAACAAGGTTTACGAAACTTTCATTTGAAATAAGAATATGGTTTAAGAATGCAGAGTAAGGTACTCAACTCGTAAAATTGAATTAAACCTTACAATTTGTGTGATTTTTTTTTTTTGACGTTTTAGTGGATTTTGTGCCAAACATTTTCTACATAGATCTCCAGTCACCAATAAAAGTATTTTAATGCACTAAGGCACAAGTTACAGCCACAAAAAGATTTAGAAGATAATAAACAAATGGATTAAAAATGTATATTCTTGTATGCACTGTGAATGGACAGTGAACTTAACAATAAAATATAACATTAAGAGTATATTCAAACATTTCCACAAAAGTATAGAAAAATGTATAGAAAAATTTTAGTTACTTATAATTTTTGAGTATCTTAAAATGCCTTTAAGCATAAAACTTGTAATAAAAATTATTAATTCAGTTGTATCTCAAACCAATGAAATTTAAACCATATGTAAGTGAAAGGTTAATCAGAGGTAATTTGGTTTAGTGTAGTAGTTTTTATAGTCAGAGTCAATGAGAATGGCCCGAGTTGGCCCTGAGGTGGAGCTCTGGATTTTGTAGCTTGCAAATGAGGTTTGAATCCATGAGATACCATAAAATGTTCCACACACTTTAATCTTTGGGTGCATTATAAGAGTGACAGTCAATCTGGTGGCATGGGTGGTAGGGTTTGGTGATTGGCTGACTTCCTTCTGGTCAGTAGTTCAAAATTAGGAACAACTTGCAGGTAGCTTTTCCATAGATACAAAATTCAACCAGAGCTGTTGACAGCAACTTGTGTCAGGTAATAACCTGTTTATTACAGTATTATTCATACCATATGTATGGTAAGATTGTAGTAAAATAGGAAATAATTAAACATTATTGTGTATAACAATTGCTATGAAATGAATGCCTTTTTTTTAACCTAGAAAAGCACAGTTAAAGTTAATAATATTTTCAGATGACATTAATAGTAGGCATACTATATTTTTTAACGCTACATTCTTTATTCAGTCCCTTAGTGTTTGTTGTGTCATAGCCGGCTTGATGAGCTTTGTTTTGAATGAAACTTGTCGTCGGCAGTGTATATGGTTCAAGTACTATCATATATTCTTCTTCTTGAAAAACCTTTAAAGGACTGAATAAAGAATGTAGTGTTAAAAATATAATAGGCCTAATACTAATCTCTTATGACAAGTATAATTTCAATAATTGATTATTGTGTATAGTTTGACGAGTGTTAACATCACGCAAATTATCATTAAAAAAATAAAAGGTTAATTTTTTTCTTTTGGTTTTTAAAGGTAAAAGTGTTATTTACTGGAAAAGAAGTTCCCAAGAGTCCTTACATTGTGAAGGTAGAGGGCACTGCTGGTGATTTTAAGAAAGTTACAGCTAGTGGCCCTGGCTTGGATCCAACTGGAGTCATGGTTGGCCGACCTACATACTTTGACGTGTTTACAAAAGGTGTATACTGCTTTTTAGAGTACAAATAAAAATTCTTTTAATCTTTTGGTTTATGTAGTTAGTTGTTTCTCATCTCTGAAGAGACTAAAGGCATTTGCCATTAAAATATTTAAAGGAAAAACACCAGGTAATATTTCATTATAATTGGAATGTTTTTCCGAGTTTAAATTTAAGTGGAAAAATATAGGTTTTTAAAAAAATATATAACAAATAAAGCTCACTACATACACTTGGTACAGTTTTCAGTTCATGACAGACTGTATATTGAAAGCTTAGGATGTGCTGTTGAATCCTGTATAACTAGATTTTAAGCAAGGCATCTTAGGATACATGTATTATTTGTCTCATTTTTCTCTTTAAAAGTATTTTAGAGATGTATCTTTGAGCTTATATATATAATCATTCCACTTGTATTGCATAACTTCTGTTTATTTTTTTTATTCTAGATGCTGGCAAAGGTCAGGTAGAAGTAATCATTTTAGATCAACTGGGTAATCGTAACACTACCCTGTACAGGCTAGTGAAGATATCAGAATATGTTTATCGGTGTGAATATGTGGCTCAAAATATTGGAGTCCACTCTATTAATGTCTTCTTTGCTGGACAACAGATTCCTAAAAGTCCATTTGGAGTAAGGGTTTCTCCTGGTAAGTTTTGCTTTCTTCTTTAATGTTATGTGCATCTCCGCAATAACAATAGTTTCTAACTTTGTACTTTATATGAATATACAATTAATTTATCATGTAAAGTTGGGATTTTTATGTATTTGTTCACATAATTGTAAATTTTAGTATTAATGTTTTCTACTGCATTTTTTTTTCACAGATTGTTTTAGTTTGAACATTAATTTAAAACATACTAATGAGTATTTACAGCAATTGTGGTCAGTATGGTATGTTTAGTAACAGAAGTAAGATCCACCCACAGTTAACAGTTTATTATCTGTATATTTAATTGAATGTATGACTACTTTTCCCATCTTCAGGATAACAGGTTCTATTAGTAATATTCTGTAGCAATGGAATATTTAAGACTTGGTGATAGAAATTTGTATAAAAATGTTGAGCAAATAAGATATATCAGAGAGCTGATAATACTTGTATATAAATCATAAAGTATCCACACTGCTAATAATCAATTAATATAGTAACAATAAAATATAGTGCTTTCTGCATGAATAAAACTTTGTACAAAAAAGTGGTTCTCTAATAGTGTAATTAATTAAGTCATTCTGTTTGAAGTATAAAACGTCAAGAAACACTTCAAGAGTAATCTTTTTGGAGGACTTTTCTTCTGAATAATACTTTATACAAATATTTACAGAGGTTACCACACTCCACAAGACCTATTTGAGTTAAAATATTTAATAGCGTGGCATGACAGAAAAAATTCTTGTGTTTTGATAGTTGCTGATTCTCGAAGAATACGTGCTTATGGGAGAGGTCTCCAATCAAATGGAGTTCGAGTCAAAGAACTTGCAGACTTTAAAGTATCCACAGCAGACACGGGTGAGGGAGACCTAGACGTTAAGGTCATTGGACCTGGTGAGTGCAGGATTTAAAAACTTAAAACAGTGTTCATTTAATTTGTTGATATGATTGTGAACTTACTCAGAATTAATTAAAATTTCAAATATGAAAAATACCCTACATTTTTTAATATCAAATAATAAAAAGTAATTGTTGATAAGGTACTAAGTTTATTTTTTCCATTAAAATTAGATATGTATCTCAGTCATTTTCAAGTATTGTTAATTTTATTTGTTGGTCTTTTTCCTAATTTTTTTAAATAATACCATTTTTTTGTGTGTGTAAGAGTTAGCTCTTCATTTTTAATTATTTTTAGGGGGTGTTAAAGAAAAGATTGAGGTTAAAAAGGTAGATGAAACTACATATGAGTGCATCTACAAACCAATGAAGGAAGGGCGTTACATTATCACCATTTCATATGGTGGACAAGAAATTCCTCGTAGTCCATTTGAAGTGAATGTTGGTCCTCATAAAGAATCCAAGATTCGAGCTTATGGTCCAGGACTGAAAGGAGGTGTTGTAGGTTTACCAGCAATCTTCACGGTAGAGACCAATGGAGAAACTGGATCTCTAGGTAACTTCGTAGATAGCCTCGATTTGTTTGATTATTGGGCTTTGAACTAATTGTTTAAAATATTTTATGACTTTCACTGAAGCTGTCTATATTAATGAAAAAAAAAGAAATATGTTAAATGAAATAAGTTTTCTTTATTCCCAAAATTAATTTTGGAAGAGGATTGAGAAAAATTGTACACTAATGAGCATTTTTGAACTCTTTTAGAGCTAGAAGACTTGCTTTTAAGATTTTTGTATTTTTATTTATAAAAAGTACTACTTTTGAGTTTGGGAATAGGACATTTTACAATAAGAAGTTACATGCATGTGATTTTCAAAGAAACTTCATTTTTCATCACATCCAAAGAACTTAGAATATGTAAACATTTTTTATAAGTATAAAAATAATGTATAGGATTAATGTTGCTAATCTTCTCAACACCATCTCTTGTTACAGAAGGCTAATCTTAAGTAGAGTATTATCTAAGTAAGATATTAGATTAAACAGGATGCTCCTAATCTTTTAAACACACTTCTTACAGAGCAGAGTACTACCTAAGTAGGAGATTAGATTAAAAAGAATGAATGAATAAGACATGTTTTATTGCAAAATATATGTTATTAAACATTTAGCATATAATATTTTCAAAAAATAGTTTCTTTCAATATTATCAGATATTTGTCTCAGATAAAAATATGAACAGGCTCACTTGTGAAATGGAGAGATCTTAAATATACAAAACAAATAGTAGTTTTAGAATTTTTGGTTTTGTTTATCTAGGTTTTGCAATTGAAGGGCCATGTCAGGCTAAAATAGACTGCCAGGATAATGGTGATGGCTCAGCAGACATATGTTATTTACCAACAGCACCAGGGCAGTATGCTGTTCACATTCTTTGTGATAATGAAGATATTCCTAAATCTCCATACATTGCAGAGATTCTTCCAAAAGCTGATTTTTTCCCAGAAAGGGTGTGTTGATGCAATCTTTGATATGATGAACATGCAAAATATGCCAAGAAACTGCTTAATATAGAGACAAATGGTTTATTGCATGTGCAAGAATACTGTTCAAAGATTTTTACACCACTGATAAAAGTTATTAATGTGTTATTTTAACAGGATGGTGCACCTCCAGACTAAAGCTTTAGTGTCTGCAACACTTAATGAAACTTCTCTTGTTATTTGGAGGATTGGATGGTGAGGCCTGATCAACTGGCTCCCCATGTTCACTGGATATTACACCTATGTAGCTTCATAAAGATCATGGTTACACTATTAAAGTTATGGGTAATGATGATAAAATGTGTCAGCATATCCATGAAGCCTCCATAAAGGCTTCTTCTGCAATATTGTAAAACACTTGGCAGGAGATTGGGTACCAGTTGGACATTTCATGTGGTGCATATGAACTGTGGTGGCTACATGTGTGTAAGAAACTTTAAATATTATTCTAGCACATGTAACAAACTGTTTGTCTATGTTAAACAGTTTCCCTGATATGATATTTCAAAAGTGTTTCTAAAATTGTTTAGACAACCAATATATATGAATATCTAACATTTTTTATCATGGTAAAAAAAAGAAATTTTCGTTCTTCAGAATCACAAGAAATATAAAACTAAAAGCAGCAATTTAAAACCATTTTATTTGGTTTATCTTACCTTAAGGTCATGTCATTTGAAATCACATAGCTTATTTTAAATTAAGATCATGCCATTTAAAACTTCTTGGTATATCCTAGTTTAAGGTCATGGCACTTGAAACCACTTGGCTTATCTTACCATAAGATCATGCCATTTGAAACCACTTGGCTTATTTTACCATAAGATCATGCCATTTGAAACCATTTGGCTTATCTTACCATAAGGTCATACCATTTGAAAACACTTGGCTTATCTTAACATAATATCATGCCATTTGAAACCACTCAGCTTATCCTACATTGAGCTTTGGTTTCTACTGTTATATTTTTACACACACTTCTATTCTCTGATGAAGAAATCTCATGTTTCTGTTTATATTTTATTTGACTCTATTCTATGTTAATCATATAACAGTGGCTGATTTTTTTATGTCCTCAGGTTAAAGCTTATGGCCCAGGTCTTGAGAAGAATGGTGTAATCCAAGGACAGTGTACAGACTTTACCATTGATGCACGTAAAGCTGGAAATCCATCATCTTTAGATGTGTCTGTAATGGATGAAAACTACAAATCTGTAGATGTAAAAATACAAGACAATAAAGATGGGACATACAAATGTACTTATTGTCCTACTTCAAAAAACAAACATACCGTACAAGTTAATTTTGCAGGATCAGCAATTTCCAACAGTCCTTTCAGGGTATGGATAATGTTATTAGTTTGTGTATTATCTAACAGTCCTTTCGGGGTATGTATAATGTTATTAATTTGTGTAATATCCAACAGTCCTTTCAGGGTATGGATAATGTTATTAGTTTGTGTAATATCTAACAGTCCTTTCAGGGTATGGATAATGTTATTAATTTGTGTAATATCTAACAGTCCTTTCAGGGTATGGATAATGTTATTAGTTTATGTAATATCTAACAGTCCTTTCAGGGTATGGATAATGTTATTAGTTTACGTAATATTTAACAGTCCTTTCAGGGTATGGATAATGTTATTAGTTTGTGTGATATCTAACAGTCCTTTCAGGGTATGGATAATGTTATTAGTTTACGTAATATCTAACTTTTATTACAGATTTATTTTGATTTTTTTATATAATTCCTACTGATGAAACTGCCCCTACTTTCTGTTGTAGTCTTTAATGTTTAGTGAGGAACCTACTGAACTGAATAATTAATTCAAAATAAAATAACAACATCTTTCATAAGTTTTGATTTTGATAATTATGTTTTGACCCATAGTATCGAGTTTTCATCAAGTAACAGTTATATTCTAAAAACCAGGTTGAATTTCAGAGAATGTTATAGACTTGTGATGGTGAGGACAAATTTGTAGGTGGTGTTAAATTAGCTATTTTTTAGTAAAATGAGATTGATGAAATATTAATACAGACAAAGGATATTTATTTAGTTTTGACTTTAATGACTTCATCAGTAGTGCTTCAGCTATTTTTCTTCTGTTAATGTCTGGTTCTCTTCAGATGATTTCCACGTTATTTTTAATGACAATAACTTTTATTTCTTTGAGATGTTATAAAATGCGAAGGATCCTTTATAATGTTCCTTAAGTCTGAGGTTCATTTCTCTCCCAGTTTCACCAATATAAAAGTGTTTAAATGCATTTGATTTTGTAGATGACTCAGTTATTTTTATTTTCAGTGGAGTAATTGTTGGTAATAATGTTTCTACCCATAATATTAAGTCATTGTTAAGTAAGATTTACTGATGATGACCCGATACTATGAGTCAAAATGCCATTTGCTAAAATCAGGACTTGCCTAGTGTATAAGTTGCTGTTGTTATAGTTTTGAATTAAAAGCAGTTTTGTCTTGTTGTTTACATCTGGCTAAGTAGTTTTGAGTACAGATACTTAAATTATTTCACTAAATAATTTCATTATATGTCTTCTTAAGAAACAGAATTAATATACTGCTATTTTATTAACTTGTACTTCTACACCTTGTTGGTTTAATGCCATACTGTAAAAAACAAATTCAGCAACTGGTTTTCACGTTACAAACTTTCACCTGTCATTCTACTGAGCTCATAGAAGCTGTCTCCCACGAACCTTTCCATATGTAGAGTACTTAAGAATTTGGTTCCTTGCCATGAGCTTCATAAGCTGCAAACATGGTATGAAGTTTATTAAAATGTGTAAGAATATCACCCTGACAACAAGAAGCAGTAAAGTATGCAGTCTTTACACAACACTTATTTCCAACACCCAACAATGGCATTCCCATTTGACAAAAAATGATAATGGGCTTGAAATAAAAGCTATATTTTAAATGTAACAAGAGATAAGAAAATACAAAATGATTTCACTAAGAAAGTTTTCTGTTTTAATTGTTATTTTGATACTCTATGGGACTGAGATGATAAGTTTTAATTTGGATATGTTTAAAAATACTCAGTATTATCATTAGCCTTTTTATTCATTTTTTTGAGGCTGATTGTAAATACAGAAACTAAAATTAAATACTTGTGTACCTTAGCAGTATTAAGTCATTATAAAATTTAAGAAAAAGATTTTATACCAAACATTCAAACTGTCCATTGTCAAAATATAAAGTTGTTTTGATATTGCAAAACAAAAATGTTCAAAGCTTCACCATTAAAATACAATTACACAAATAGAATAAGTGGGATTAATTAACTATTTTAGGTACTCTAGTTATTTTTAGAACAGTAACTGAACATTAGTATGAATTTTGGTATTGATATATGTGTGATGCTTTTTATACAAATTTATATACTGGTATATGATTTTTCTCTTTACTTCTCAAGGTATATGTATCAGAACCTACTGATTCTTCTAAAGTAAAAGTTTTTGGCCCAGGAGTTGAAAAAGGAGTCAAAGCACAGATCCCTACTCACTTCAACGTGGATGCCCAAGGTTGTGGTAAAGGTACGTTTGTCATTTTTATATAAAAAAATAGTATTTCTACCACTGGAAGTAGTATTATTCATTATATAGTTTATTAATTTTCATAACAGAAGATTATTTACTAATGTGAATACACTTCCTCATTAAGGAACTGAAAAAGAAAAAAGAGTAACACCTGAATGTGTACTTTCATGTCTTTAGAAGCATTCACACTCAGTTTGTTGTTTAACAGGAGATCTCCAAATCTTATTGACTGATGAGAAAGGTAAACAAGTTCCAGTTCAGATCCAAGATAATGAAGATGAAACGTACACTGTAGATTATGTATCTCCTACTCCTGGTACTTACAAGGTAAATTAGTGCAAATCTAGAATAAGGAAAACATTGCACTCTTCATCATTCACTACACATATTATAATACTCATATAAACAATTTCATCATCATCAGCATACGAAACTTTTGCTTATAGACACTAGGGAAATTCAGAATTATGTCAAGTCAGATTTTGGTCACATGCAGTATTTTCTTATTTCACTCTTAATTTGATTTTTATTACATTTATTATTACAAATTTGTTACAACTTACTGGCTAATGATAGTTTGAAATACTTTGTATTTGTGAGAAGTCCCATGAAGTATGTGTTTATATAGAGTATAATGTTCTTCAATACTACATTAAGGTGGCTATTACTTTAGATCCAAGACAATAAAGATATGATTTACAGTTATTTTCTGTTTGTAAAAATTTAGGAATGTGTTTGAAAGTATTTTTGGTAATGTTTGTAAACACATAGAGAAAACTAGTAGAGCATTTTGAAGACTTCAAACATCTACTTCTAGTGTTATTGGATTTTTTTTTATAAAGAAATTAACATTATGGGATAAAATAAAATATATTTACAAAACTAATTTGTGTTTTTCCTGATCGGATTGGCTCTATTAAAAGACTTTACAGGGTTCTAATAATTACTTCTGATATCTCTGTTGTAAAGATTTTAAAAATAATCATCCACTGTTTGAAATTAAATAGTGAATGATATAATTTGCTATCATTAAATGTCAATTTTGGTGCTGTTTATTCATGAAAGCTGGGACTTATTTTTTATTCTTTTTGCAAGGTTACTGTTATGTTTGCTGGAGAGGAGATCCCAAATAGTCCAATTAAAGTTAACATACAACCACGAGTGGATGTCAGCAAGATCAAGGTGGATGGATTAGAGTCAAGTGAGTCATTTAACAATATAAATGTTAAAAATGGTGTTGTTTAAACATAGATCTTGCTGTTGATAACAGCTCTCCCCCCCTGTACCATTTGTATTAAATTCTAGTCGAATGCTGTAAACATTATGATTTGCCCTCAAAACCTTAAGTTATATATTTTATAAACATATTAAATAAACTTGTATTTTAACATTTCTATGTGAAAGTAATAAATAATATAGTTGACTTTGATTGTATTCTACAAACTTTGCCCATACATGAATGTGGATAAATAGTATATTTAAAGAAAATTAATTTTAATATGGATAAAGATATGTTAGTTGATGCAGTTAGATCGAGTGCTTAAAGTTTTATCTTTCATCATTTCATCGATCATTTATTCCAAAAATCACTTACTCTTGAAAACTCAGTTTTATATAGTTTTTCTGATATTGTTCATTTTTATTTAAATCTATTATTATTAATTTTCAAATAAAACTAAGTGTACTTAATTTGGACTTGATGTTCTGTGATGTTGTTTGGAAATTTTAACTCTCATAAAGAAAGTGTTTGAAAATTCTATAGTAAAAGAAACCAATTCTTACATTCTGATAATTCAACTTTCCTGAAAAAAAAATTACTTAATTTATCCTGTGATTTTTTTAAAAACAACATCTCAATTCTAAGTATGGTTTATAAAATATATAAATTGTACTTATTGATTATACTTATTTATTAAAATTTATTTTAGTTGAGACTATAAAGTGAACATGTGTTATGAATTTTGAGTTTAGAATTATTAAGGCTCATAAAGCTTATTGATGGTGCTGGAAGTGTTTTTATTGTTCAACTAGTGGTTCTACTCTTTATAGTTCTATGTTGTAATAAAGAATGCATTTTTTAGTCTTGTTAGTTATGTACTGCTAATTATGCATGTACTTGCATGATTAACCTATGGAAATGTGCATGCTTTAATAAAGAAAAGAGAAATTTCTAAACTACTGTAGGAAATCAAAAACTTCCTTTTCGTTTATGTCATGCATCTTCCAACCCATTTAAACTATACACTAATAAAATAAACTTTTCTTAAGTAGTTCATTCCACAGAGAGTGCTTATTGCTCTACATCTAGATCCTATAAGGCCAATTTGTTAATTAGAAAGGAATATTTTAAGTCCAGATAAATTCTTTCATCTCGGGCTGACTTCATACTACATGCTGGATTATTTAAAAGGAATTTGTCATTTGAGAAATAATTAAATCCCATAAGTATCCAAGTTATTAGTGGATTTTACTTGCTAGTTATCAGGTGGTCTACCTACTCAAAAAGAGCCTGTTAAACAAGAGCCCTCATTTTGTGGCTAAGTGGAAAGGTTCTGGGCTTATAAAACTAGAAGTCAGGGATTAAATCCCTGCAGTGGGCACCACACATATATAGGCCATTGTATAGCTTTGTGCTGAAACAAATGGCCAAACTTGATTAGAAAATGGTGGAACTAAATCTAAAATAAACACTTCAAGAGTAGATCGTTATCACCATTGGAACAAAAACCCAAACATTTTAATTGTTCTGCACTTATTTTCTTTGTGTTTTAATCTGAAGTATTACAGTCATTAAAAACTCTAGGAGATAGTTCCTGTTTGTAATGTAAAACCAAAATATAAAATAAAGGGACAGTTGAAGCAGTATTTTCTTATAAGGTGCTTATCTTCAAATGTTATGATCTACATACATTGTATCTGAGCCCAAACTCTCGTTGAAGAGGGCCAAGTGTGGTGTAGTGTAGTGGTTAGCATACTGGACTGTTAATATGAAGGTTCATGTTACATTGGCACAAAAACATGCTCCATTATTCTGATTGAAATCCAGTAACATAACAGTGGGCATTGCTATTAAACTTTACCTTATACTCATTTTCAAAATTAGTTATCAGAAAATATAAATTATTTGTACAAAATTTGTTTCGACTCCACCAAATCAATGTTCACTAAAGCTGTTCACTCATACACACATGCAGTAAAATCTACCAAATTACGACAAATATGTTATTAATACCATCGTAAATTATTATTAATCACGGAGTTAATAGTACTTGTTAAAAAACAATCATAACTTAAGCAGAAACAAGTTATAAATGGAGTGTGATACATCTCATATATAACTGGAGGAGGTTTTTGTGAGGTTCGATTAGATTTTTTTTCTTTCCAAGTTAAAACACTTATATATATTTAGAGTTTTGATTTAAAAAATTTTGAGACATAAGTTTAAGTGCCATTGCATGCTATTGTCCACATTTCTCCCTCTTTTAAAAATTAAATCTGATTCTGTAACTACAAGTCGATAAATTTGATAGTTTCTGTTGGGAGGGTATTGTCTCTTTCTCATTTTGTTTATAATTTAAACTAAATGCACTAGAGTATTACTTCAAACTAATTACCAAACTATGCAATCCAAATCTCATTGTGTACTGTTTAATGCAAATATATGACTTACCAAAATCTTGATTTTGTACTGGCTTGGAGCTTATGTACAATGTAATCCAATTTTTCATTTTGTTCTGCATTAAACTTCATGATTTCTGCATTGTTAGTTTTAAGTCTTTCCACTCTTTTTACCTTTACATCCCTTGATCATTGGTAAGACAGCACTTGAACTTGTTACTATATTCTGTAATGTAATTATATGATCTTAAAGCTGCTTACTTGGGATTAGAGGTAAAAACATAAAGAATTAAAGAAAACATCTTGATTATTCAGCACTGGTTAGCATTAAACCAATAAACCTTAGCAATTCTGGGAATTATAAATTTATATGATCAAAAAATGTAAAACAAACATTTGAAGACTGGAAGTTTAGAAATATATATATAAATATGGTTTGGTTCTGCAACCCCAGCAATTGTGGGGGACCCAAGCCAAAAGGGGGCCCGAATCAATCAGGAAAATAAATTTAGGGGGCACAATTACTTTTTTTTGCATAGGGGAAATTTTTGTAATTATGCCACTGGCAACAATATATATATATATAGAGAGAGAGAGAGAGATAAGTAGATATTAGGATTTGTAATCCTGAAGCTTTTTCTCAATCCCAGGATTTTAGTGGCTTAATTCAGGGTTCGTTTGTTTGTTTTTAATTATGCACAAAGCTACACAAGGGCTATCTGTGCTCTGCCCACCACGAGTATCGAAACCCGGTTTCTAGCGTTGTAAGTCCGCAGATAATTCAGGGTTCTAAATCATTCATTTATTTACATTCTATTTTATCTTAATCAAAAGTAATTTCTGATCTAATTTAAATTATCAAAAGGTAATGTGAACTCTCTGAGAAGGAAAAAAATTGTGGTATCAATGACACTACTCTGATCCAGAAAAGGTTAATATAATCCTGAAAACTATGGGGTTCTTTTCCCTAAATCCTGGTATTTGGGAAATTCCATTAGCATACAGGATCCCAGGATCAGGAGGTTAGTAAAACTTTAAGCATTTAAATGAATAGCTTTGATAGAAAACTGTTACTTTACTTTAAAAATGTTTAATTTGATCTCTTGTATATGTGCATCACCATCTTCCAGCAAGAAAGATCATTCAGTATCTGCTCCATTAGCATACATATCCCAGGATCAAATTCTCAGGATTGCAACCCTCAATACATTTAGATATGGATATATAATGAAAAAAATATAAAAAAGCTTAAATCTGTGTAGCAGTTTCGAGAAGCTTCTTATTTAAGAAGAAATTATATTACAAAAAAACGAAAGTTTATAGATGTGGTATTGAAGAACAAGTAGATGACAATAGAAAAGGAGGTTTACTTGTAATATAAATAAATTGGCAAAGTAGCCAACAAACACATTGATCCTAAAATGAATGCTAGAAAGGCTTACAGTTTTTCCTTGTAATAGTTACTTCAAAAACGGTTTAATTCAAAATATCAACAAAGTAAAAGACAATCTCAAATAACAGCTATTTTTCATAAAAACTGATGATATAGACTATTACTGGATCTGTTGTATCCCAGCTGGCTTGATGAGCCCTGGTATTGGGTTAATGGCATTGAAGACATTGGATAAAGCAGATTTAGTGTGGTTGATACATTATAAACTAGAGGGGCACTCATTAGAATGCATACCTCCGCCACGCAGCATTAATAATATTTGGCTCTCAAAAATATGAAAATGTGTACTTATATCTGTTGCATCATGAGGAATAATATTCTACATATGTCCACCAAGTTTCATCAAAATCCAATCATTTTGACTGAGTTATAGAACAAAAATAGTGTGAAAAATCGGTCCCCATGTTATCAGATAGGGATTTGTTTATTTTACCTTTTTGTAACCTTGACCCTCCAAAAACTAATCACTTCTAAGTTGGATCATAGTCCAAATGTATACAAACTTTCGTCCAAATTCATTCAGCTGTTTTTGAGAAACCTTTCTGACAAACACACACACAGGGGTAAAAACATAACCTCTATCCATTTTCAGTGGCGGAGGTAAATATTATTATTTGCTTCCACTCATAAATTCTTAAAATTAACTGATAAGAGGACAAATTAAATACCAGCTATTACACTTAATCAGGCCACATTACCAAGTATTATAATGTCATCATCTGCTTCTCACTGATTCATAAAAATATTGTTACGTCTCCGTTCATTCGTTAATTTTCCATAAAAATTATTTCAGTAGAAACTTTACCGATAGAAGTCCTTTCTTAAATAAAACTGGTTTATTCTTTCTGAAAAAACTTTGCGATACACTTAATTTCAACAGTCGCGCTATAACAAACGCTATAATTCTCAACGAACGTCTCATGTGCTCGACTCAACAATACTCAGTTCAATTACACACATTGTTGCTGTCACTTTGTGGCCGTCTTATATATATACAAGACTACACTATATCTAGAAGGATCCCGAGATTTAAGGAAGGGACGTGAATGTTCGAGAAGAAGGATGTGGCGTGATACTAGTCACGTGACCTCCGCTGACGCAACAATATTATAAATTTAAAATAGTGATAATCAGGAGACTAAGAATATTACACTTGGGTAATTGAATTGAAAAAAAATTGAAAGTGCAGTTTTATGTTAATTTATTACCTTCTTTTTTTATGCATTCACAGACATATTTGATTTCAGGTTATTATCTTATGGGGTGCTTTAAACAGTGAATTGTTTTCTGTATTTAGCATCAGGTACTCTGAT